TCTTCGTCTCATGACCATAAACACGGCAGTAATTATTAGAAATCATTGAAAATCAATAGGATTCTTCGTCTCATGACCTTAAACATTGTGTATAAATTTAAAGTCAATCGGATATTAACTTTAGCCTCTAGAGCATCCACAAGATTTTTTAAAGTGATCAACAGCCTTAACTCTGGCAGTAATTATTGGAAATCGGTGAAAATCAATAGGATTCTTCGTCTCATGACCTTAAACACTGTGTATAAATTTAAAGTCAACCGGTTATTAACTTTAGCCTCTAGAGTGTCCACAAACCGACGGACGAACGGACGGATAGACAATATACGACCACATTTCAATGTGGGCGCATAAAAATTAAAAAGATTTTACTGCCAAGTGAGATAGGTAATCTCATGAAAATTAAACAGTTGCTTTCATTTACTTCACACTATCTACATGGTCATGTCCTAATTATCATTCTTGAACTCAGGAAGCTTAAAGTTAATTTAAAGGATTTTTCATATATTCAAAGAAGACTGAAAGGTAATCTCATGAAAAATAAACAGTTGCTTTCATTTAATTCACACAATCTACATGGTCATGTCCTCCTAATTATCATTCTTGAAGTCAGGAAGCTTCAGCTAATTTAAAGGATTTTTCGTATATTCAAAGAAGACTGAAAGGCTATCTCATGAAAAATAAACAGTTGCTTTCATTTAAGTTACACAATCTGCATGGTCATGTCCTAATTATCATTCTTGAAATCGGGAAGCTTCAGTTAATTTAAAGTATTTTTCATATTTCAAAGAAGACAAACACATGAAGTAAATGAGAACAACTGTTCTTGAAGGCCTGCTGAGTGAAAGATCTAGTCAGGAACAATGGATAATACTCCAGCTACTAACAGAGTTAATAATTAATAGATTTCATGTGGCTCTATTGTCAGTTAAGGTACCAAGGATGTAATAAACAATACCTTAGAGAGTATATCTATAAAGACCATGTAATGATGACCAAAGTACTATACAATTATCAAATATTTGTCAATTTAATTAACTGACTGTAGACATTTAAAGGTGTCATGATAATATATTTAATGTTCTACTACATATACATCAAAGATAGGTGGTTGCCAGGCAACAAAACATACGCCCACAGCAGCTAAATAGCCAGAGCAGTCAACAAGAGTTGTAGAATCGGTAATGAAACATTTATAATACACTAAAATCTGATTAAGAGTAACAAGTCACATAGTAATTATCAGAAAATCATTAGAATTTGTTTGGCTTCATGTTAATATTTAGTATACAAAACATTCAATATCATAGATTTAGCTGTTCAAGTTATCAAAAATCAATGAAAATCAATATAGTTGTTTGTCTCAAGACCTTTTAAACTCTGTGTATCAATCTAAAATCAGTCAAAACGATTATATATCTAGGTGTCTTCGTCTCATGACCATAAACACGGCAGTAATTATCAGAAATCGTTGAAAATCAATAGGATTCTTTGTCTCATGGCCTTAAACACTGTGTATAAATTTAAAGTCAATCAGATAATAACTTTAGCAACTAAAGCATCCAGTAGCATCCACAAGATATTTTAAAGTGACCAAGGGCCATAACTCTGGCAGTAATTATCGGAAATCGTTGAAAATCAATAGGATTCTTCATCGCATGACCTTAAATACCATGTATAAATTTAAAGTCAATCTGATATTAATTTTAGCCTCTAGAGTATCAACAAGATATTTCAAAGAGATCAAGGGCCATAACTCTGGCAGTAACTATTGGAATCGCTGAAAAACAATAGGCTTTTTCATCTCATGATCTTAAACACTGTGTATAAATTCACTGTCAATCGGATATTAACTTTAGTCTCTAGAGTGTCCACAAGCAACTGACCAACAGAAGGACGGGCGGACAGACAGGGGCGACGACAATATACGGCCACATTTCAATGTGGGCATATAAAAAGAACCTTTGGAATTTTTCTAGTCTAGTTTTCACTTGTTCGGGGTACAAGTGTGGGTCTAATGAGGATAGTGTAGCCTTATCACTTTAATGTGACAGAAAACTGGTCAACCTCTGTAGACATGGGAATGCACGCAAAATAATCGGAAATGAAATGAATTTAAGTTTAATGTTGGATCTCCACCAACTGGGCAAATGAAGATTTGTATGTGACCATACTAAATAATATTAATCATATATTAGTCACCAAATGACTGAAATATTGTGTTGATAAGGTATATTAAACCCAATTCTATCCTTTTCTTGTCCTTTAAAGAGGAGTATTTTCACATCACTGAGTGTAATAGTACAGAAATTCAAACCTGTCTATTATGAAGCATAACTATGCTACGGTACTAGGTTTCATGTTATTACATGTTAAGTTATAATGAAGTTTGACTAAACTAGATAATTGCTAAGTGGCAGATGATCTATATTTACAAACTCTTACATATGTTATGTTTTATACTTTTAGGATATCTTTATCTATAATTAACCTATATCTGACACAACATTACCATCTTCAAACATTTCCTACATTAAATCTACTATTACACATTTTCTCACACTCTTTCAAATAATCAGATATTTTGGTACTTGCGAGAAGGTTACAAAGGTATAGGCATGGTATAAAGACCCATGTCAGAGGGATTTGTATGAAATGATACTCAGAGATAGTTATAGCCAAGATATATGTACCCATGTCTGAGGGATTGGTATTCAGAGAAGAACATTTTTCAACTGGGAATATTCAAATGTATATTGATGAAAAGGACGGTTGTGTCAGGTAAATTCACAGAACTACTTCAACCTCTAGTACAAATCTGTACTTGATTTATTATGGCTATCCAGGTTCTGAAACTAGTCTTACCAAAGAAGGTGGTTGCCAGCTAATAGAACACACTCCCGCTTTTGTCGCTAAAACAGTCACAAAATTAGCAGGGGCAATAATCTTAAAAGTTACCAGAAATCAGGATGTGGTGATATCAATAATGTAGTCTCTAGAATGGTCCAAAAACATTGTGAACAGACGAACTAACAGCAATATACAGTAACAAACATTCAAATTTGAGTGTACACATGTACCTAAAACAATACGCATGTCCCCATATGGTACCACTATGTTACCTGTTAGCTAATTATCAGAATGAATAGAAGGCAGTCATTTGATTAACATGAAGTCAAACTGTTATTAAGTCACTTCCAACAGATTCAATAATCAATATATATATATGGTCCATTGGATATTTCACATAATTAACTCTGTGTATTGCTACTATATTCATTCCAAGATTTACAAATAGAATGTTTGGAGATTGATGTGACCCGTGGTGGCAAATTCAGTCGCAACGAGGAAATTTTGAAAATTGAGTTATTGTTATTTTCACATTCTCCACCTCAATACCTTCAAAATGATGTACATGTATAGTTGGTATGAATTGGGTAACAAATGACTGAGCTATATCCAAGTCAGAAAAGATAGTTTTGATTAAATGCAAGTTACAGATTTTGGTATGTTCTAAAATAAAATCACATAGCAACCACGCCATATATTTATTATTTTTCTCTCGGTGTTATAATTTAGAACAAAAGAGAATAGTTCATACACTGGTAATCTAGGTTTTGTATATTATAACTTTTATGGGAATAACTTCTGTTAATCTCACCAATTAATTATAACCTTTGTGTTAGTGCTCAGGAAATTAAGATTGTTGATTGGGTAATCAAGTTTAGTTACTTGATTATCAAAGAAGCTGCTACAGATACATCTATGTTCTGTTATTTCCGTCACACGACTGAATTAAAATAAGGTTTTGCACGTACAAAAGTTCCACTGCTATGTTCAGGTACCCCTGATAGAATGATAGAAATTTCATTTGTATGACCAGTAAGAGATGCTTACATTCACTTTAGTGCATTTTAGCAGTGGTATAATGAAACAAATTGTTGACCATTTTCTCACTCGAGAATTACCTCTATTCGACTCGTTCATTGTTCTCACGTTTCCGACCCATGGCGATAATAGAATTTGAAACAATAATATCCACTTAGGCATGTTTGTATATTTTACATGCCGTATGAAGCCACAGAAAACGGAATTGAACTATCGACATATATTTTTTTTAAGACAAAACGAAATATCAAATAATCACCGACTTGGATTAATTATTCAAAGTAAATAATGACTTGAGGAAGGCTTATATATATCATTGGAAATTATCAATCAACTAATCATTAACCATGACAATTATTACTCAATGACACGATCCAGATTTTCAGCTACTGTAGTTGATTAATTATTCCCCCGCATGGTTTTGGTTGACATTCAGCGGCAATCTATATACGATTAGAATTTTAAGATTTTTTACCGCCACTATTCAGAATGAATCGGAAGTACCCCAAAACATTATCGCCAAAATCAGATTTTTATCGCCACTTTCACTTTTTTATTGCAAATTAATACCTGACAGTGTGATTACCGAATGTAGCCAGGATACCATAATGCACCACGCGGGGTGTCCGAGCTGAGTATATTTAGGTATTGTATGGATTTTAAAACTCGTTTGTATTCCTCGAAAATGGGATTATCGGTAATACTTTGAACACATTTATAAACTAGGGATTCGCACCTTCACAACAATGCCAAGTATTATGTAAGGAGATTGGCTGATCAACCCGCTGAGTGCGCTGAAAAATAACTAACTTCCCTGAAAATTTTAAGAAAAACAAAAGATTCAAGAATACAGTACTCTTACAAAACATCCTAGTAAAGATGCTTTAAGATGTTTTATTGCCATTTTCACTTGTTTTGTCTTTAGCTATTTATTAGACTTTGTGCATCCCGACTCATTTTGCCAGCACAGGTCACATATATGGAATTAAGATGAATTGGTAACTGGCAAGTGTTGGATCATGTGTACGTATTGTATACAACCTGTACTAAAATTGTCGGATCAAACCCCACTGATTCTATAACCAAAATATCTTAAAGGTCAAACAGTGACCTACCTGTGAAAACACTTGGCACTTTGGACATAAAACTTTTAACAGTTCTAACTGGTACCCCAGTATGTTCATCTTGCATTCTCTCGACAATAGTCTCCATCTGAAACAATAACAAGCAGTTGTTAATAGACAAACAATAATAATCTGACCACATAATAATAACATACTTACTATGAATGTTTTTTGTGTATAAATAAATGTAAGGAAACAGAAGGTTGTTTGTACCTATTGGTTTTATCATATGCCAACTGTTTGTTAGCATTCTCCCCACAGTTGTGTTGTTACAATGTTATTTCATCTCATTACAATGAGTGTAGTTCGAGTACCATTATCATTTTGTTGTGAATCGTTCCTTTTACTTTATGCATGGATTCCATTCACCTGTTCCTAGTAAGCCCAAGGAATGTCCCTGTACCAATTTAATAGGAAGCATAATATTCAAGACACAACTGGAAAGGCAGGACAAAACAATCTAGACATCCCCAGATATACACACATAATCATACCACATATTTATATCCCTGCTACAATAACTTTGAAGAAGCAACCATAAACCCTGCAAGCAAAATGGTCCCAGGATCATATAGTCGCTGTTTGCCCTGTCCAATGGACCATCTCAATACAGGTCAGCATTTTAAAGATTTTTTCGTGCAGTATATACTTTATCAAAATTCAGAATCATTCAAAGTGTGTAATTTGCCTGTCTTTGAAATCTTGTTATAGTTTACTGTCAAACTTTTCTGGAATTGCTCAAATAGTTATGAATTAGAATCTGATCAAATTACAGTATAGAGCATCAGTTACCTGGTGAATACTCATCTGTTTTTTAGTATAGATACTTGCTCAGATTGTTCAAATAGCCATGAGACAGACCATACTGAGAGTCATTTCAACAAATCAAAGGTTTCATTATGAAAGTTCTGGATTGATTATCACAAAGTCTTCAAAACAATCAAATAGTGAGAAACTTCATAAACAGTTCACTGATTTTGTGTACAACATAAACTTTAACTTTTAACTACAACATCCCTTTCAAGGAAATAGGATTCCATGAGAAATCTGGAAATTTTCAAGATCAAAGTTATGAACATCTAACTGCCTACTGATTAGTTTGTGAGAGAGTGTCGGTAGAAGCGACTTTGATAAATGACACATCAGAATTGCCTAGCACCCATAACACCACACATAACATAAACTCAACATATTTATCCAGCAATAACTGTTGTAGCAGACAATACTGACGGTACTAGATATAGAAATATTCTGATGTCATAATTCTATAAATAATGTTTTTGCAATCTCTTTATACACTGATTGGACACCATGGAAATCTGGCTGTGGCATCATCTGTTATATTGCAACACTTCTGTGTCTACCTGTAGGTTTTCTATCAGTGGGCATTTCTACTATAATTCATCAATATATTTGAAAAATGTTTTCAGCTTGAGAGTTTTGAGAATAAATCATTTACATTAGTGTAATACTATGTCTCAAAACTCCAATACTACATAATCTCAGAGCTACAAAATCCCAACCCTACATACTCCCTGATAAATAATTGTCAAAATTAACTGGTTAAACTTTTTTGTTTCAACATAGGAAACAATAACCATACAAGTTAATTGTGTACATATCTTTACGGCTTCAATTACGAAATTTAAACTTTTATATATTTTCAGGATGCAGTCTTTTGATTGCTTTAGAGTTTAAACCCTAGTACAAAATTTATCTTAAGGCCAACAAAAGGGCTGCATTCTTAAAATATGTTAGCGTAAGTTTTTGTGAATATGGACCCTGGGATTATTTACATGTAGAAGATAGGATACCATCCTGAATGGTTATTATAAGAAACTGACAAGAGATGGGATTTTATAATGTTGGAATTAAGTTAGGATACCATCCTGAATACTTATTATTAGAAATTGACTAGTGTAATATTAACAATTTATATACTGATGGTAAACTATGTATAAATTGCCTTTCATACACAGTGAAGATTTATGTAATAAAGAATAAATGTAGCTCTATTTGAAGAAGGCAAGGTAATTGGTAATAAATGTCCTCCTGTGTCAAGTTCATCAAATTCGTTTACTACAAGAAAAGATTAGAGTCGAGAGGACTAACCATAGATCTTCTAGTGGATATCAAAATTTACTGACGCTGGTCAAAGTCAATGAAGGGCACGAGAACTGTACCATGAAACTAGGCAGATTTAGATCGTCAACCTAGTAAATCAATTCCTACAGCCAACTTCAGCTAATTTTATTCTAGCGCCTTGCCTTAAGCTCTGTGTGGCCATAGTTTGTGTATAGGAAACCAGATCATTAGCGTTTGCATTCAGATTAAAACTGAAGACCCCCCTTTCTATTGTGCAAGGAAAACTGTATCCAATGATCAACACAGGCTTTTTCTATTACTAGGTGCATTTTCCATTTAATTACTAGCTTTCTATCCAATCTATATAATGGCCTCAACTCCCTAAGTAAACACTTATGGCTCAATACACTGGCTTCATGTTACGGCCATGCTTTGTCAACAGTAAAATCTTGATTTTGGCTAGATTTGGTCTGTCAATCAAGAAAATTAGCAAGAAAAGATGGGCAAGAAGGGAGGCTGTTCTCTCCTTGAAGATTTCACTATGTATTTCCACAGCCATGAGCTGTTATACATGATGAACATTCAATCAATATAATCTTGATTAACATACCACCACTAGCTTTCTAGTCAGCAACAAATTCAAACACTGCATGTTAGAACTCTGTTTGAAAAATTGCCTGGCATGTTTGCTTTAGCCATTATGTACTAATTAATAAAAACGATGTAATCACTTCAAAGTGAAAAGATAGTCTTCTCAAGTATTTCAATTCTACAAATAATACATTACATCAATAAGGATAGGACTGACATGCTTAGTCACCTTATCTTCATTTTCAGGAATATGTGCAATACGAGTTGAAGTGGAATGCATCACACATAACTCTAAAATGTAAATGGGTGTGTTCACCTAAGTTTGTCAAGACATGATTTTGTTTCTCGCTATACTTCTCAATTGTTAAAGAACTTTAACGTGTGGAGTTAATCGTAACCAGCAATATGGTGTATCCACAAAATAATGGTCGTAATGAACAAAATGCCAAGAAGCCAATTGTAATTGATGAACCACTATTCATGTATTGTTCCATAATTCTGAAATCATGTAAAACATACTTGCACAATAAATGAAACATATAACAGTGGTATATATGTGCATGAATCCATTTTGATCATGGACCTTAAAATGTGAAATACCAGCGGCTGCCAGGCAAGATACGCCCACATTTTGCAAGAGATGGATAGAGAACAAGCTAAAAACAAACAGGATTTTTTGTGCAATCAGGGGCAATAATGCAGAAAATAATGGTCTGAAATGTGCAAATATCAAAAGGGACTGAGATCTTTGGGATATAAAGATATGATTTAAGTTTCATCAGAATCGGACAAAAATTGTGACCCATAGAGGATTGACAACCTTCGTATTGCATACTTTTACACAATATTTGCGAACAAAGAGCGGGCATTTTGTTGGGCAGTTTCATTTCGATTTTCCCGAAATTCGAATTCAACCTTCATTATGGTGGAATGGTGAAATATTTAAAATCGGAAAAAAAATTGTGATCTCTAGAAAATCCACAAGTTTAAAATGCCATTTTTCGAACAATCAGGGGCCATAATCCAGGAAATTAAGTTCGGGTATCCGCGATTATCAAAAGGATCCATGATCTTAGTGTGTAATGGTGATATATTCACACATTTTTTTTAAATCAGATAAAAATTGTGACCTCTACAAGGACCACAAGCTAAAAACGCGATTTTTCGTAACAATCAAGGGCCAAAATTCAGGAAGTTACTATCCGATATGCCAAATATCGAAAGGAACCAAGATCTTTGGGTTATTAACTTACATTTCAAGTTTCATAAAAATCAAAAGAAAATTGTGACCTCTAGAGGGTCCACAACATTGATATACCATATTTTTACACTATTCGAGTACGAGGGGCGGCCATTTTGTCTGTCAGCTCTGGTCCGATTTTCACGAAATTCGAAATGCGAATTTTTTCGTACAATCAGGGGCCATAATTCAGGAAGTTACAGTCCGATATGCGCGAATATTGAACGAAAGCAACCGAGATCTTTGGGTTATAAACTTACATTTCAAGTTTAATCAAAATAGGATTAAAATTGTGACCTCTATAGGGTCCACAACCTTGATATACCATATTTTTACGCTATTTGAGAATGAACGGCGGCCATTTTCTTTGTTAGTTTTACTGATCTAAATAATGGCATGCATATAAATTTCATACAGATCGGATCATAACTGTTGTCAATAGAGCATTCTACAAGGCTCAACAAAGTAAAACACAGGCCACAAGTCTAGAAATAATTAATTAATTGTTGAAATTCAATAAGCTTCTTCATTTTAGTGATCTAAATAATGCATATAAATTTTATACATATTGGATGATAACCTTTTGTTGATTGAGCATTAACAAGGTTCAACAAAGTGAAACAAGGTCCATAACTCTACAAGCAATACATGGAAATTGTTGAAATTCAATAGGCTTCTTTGATTTAGTGATCTAAATAATGCACATAAATTCCATACAGATCGGATGATAATTTTTGTCAATAGAGTGTGCACAATGTTCAACAAAGTAAAACAAGGGCTCTAACTATAGGAGTTATTAACGGAAATTGTTGAAATTCAATAGGCTTCTTTCTTTTACTAATTTAAATAATGCATGTAAATTCAATAAACATCAGACAAAAACTTTTGTAGCTGAGCGTTCACAAGGTTCAACTCTAGAAATTTAATGGGCCTCTTCATTTTATTAATTTAAATAATGTATGTAAATTTAATACAGATAAGATGACAGCTTAAGTTGTTAAATAAATAAATACGTATTGTAAAATGAGAAATGAAAATAATAATTCCCATAAAATATTATTGTTTTCATTGCGTGTGTCTAGTTAATCAAGCTTATTTGTTAATTTGCGCGTAACTCCAAATGAACAAAAATAGTAACACACATAGCTGTTGCTATGCAAGATACGCCCACA